GCAGGCCCTGCTGCTCGGAGAGGGCCGGGCGGGGCCAGGACGAGGATAAAGTCCGTTCCGGAGCGTTCTGGGGCGTTCCGGAGCGCTCTAAGAAGGCCGCGGTGCCCCTCCTCCTCCTCCTCCTCCTCCCTCCTCCTCCTCCTCCTCCTCCTCCTCCTCCTCCTCCTCCTCCTCCCTCCCTCCTCCTCCTCCTCCTCCTCCTCCTCCTCCTCCTCCCTCCCCCCCTCCCTCCCTCCCTCCCTCCCTCCCACCCTCCCTCCCTCCCTCCCTCCCTCCAAGCCGCGGGATCTCAGAGATTCTCGATTTGTCATCGTCCAAATTTGCCCCAAGGGGCTCAAGACCAAGAGGCTCCCAAGCCTCCCCCGATGGGGACCGCGAGTTCCGTTCTGGAGGTCTTCGTAGTCTTCTTCCTCCATTCAGGACCTTCTTTCTTCCGTCTTGGATCTTGGAGGCAATCAAAGTTTTCCGAATCATGTGGTGCAGCGGTTGCGACATGCACTGGGAGGTGGGGCCGTCACGCAACAGCGCCTTGGACGATGATTGCGAGATTTTGTTCTGGCAATGCTCGTGGGCGAAGTCGCTGTCATCGGGATTCCTGGGATCGTCATCTACAAATTCTCTCCCAGCGTAAGAAAACTTGCTCTTGAATCGCTCCCCCGGTTGTTCCAGTCTTCATCCTGCACTCAGAGGTTGCCGTGCTTTTTCTTGCGATTTAAAGCTGTTCTAGGTAATTTCTGGGAGCATCCGCGGACATCTGGAGGCCTCCAACCGCTGCTGGAGGACGAGGGGAAGGGGAAGGAGGAGAGGGCATGGACGGGGAGGAGGGAGGATGGGGATGAGGATGAAGCGGGAGGGAGGAGGGAGAGGGAGGAAGTGGAGGGGGAAGATGAGGTGGAGGGGCAGAATGAGGGGAAGGAGGTGCGGGTGGAAGAGGGAGCGGCGAGGATTAAGAAGAAGAGGAGGAGGAGGAAGAGGAGGGAGATCATCAGGCCGTTGGGGCGGAGTTCATCCACCCTACTGGCCGACATCACATGATGCCACTCTTGCCAACGACTGAGATAGCCTGTCAGCCATTCTGGGAAGCACCTGCACTGGGAGATAGCGGAGGGGGACGAACGCGGCTGCTTGCCTCCACTGGGTTCGGTCGCCTTGGCGCCTGGAAATCCCTCCGCACTGTAGTCGCAAGTCTATACCTCCCTCAGCGGCACCCGCAATTCGATTCACTGTACTTGCCACATGTGCCACATGTATGGATACAATCATGGCCTCGCACGGCCTGAGTTACGTACAGCTGGTGGCTCTGAGGGAGATCAGTCAGGGCCGAGACCATTATATGGTATTCTAGGCAAGCCTCGAGCTGCTTTTCTGGTCTGTATGTATGTATATAACAACCATTTCAGGGTATGTGGGCTCGCAGATCGTAATTATGCGTTTCCCTTTTCCCCCACACCCACCCACACACCCACGAATGACGGAGGCGGGGGGAGGGTCGAGGGAGCCTCGGGGGGGGGGGGGGGGGGGGGGCGGGAGGAGGTGGGGCTAGAAGCGGTTGGTGTCACACCCCTCTGGCGCTCTGCGCGCCAACAGGAATTGGCAGTGCAACAGCCTCGTCACGAGTGTCGAACGCCTTCTAACTCGTGCTTGGTCCCACGAGTTCCCACGAACTGAAAACTTTAGAAACATACACCAGCCATTTCTTGAGAAGCTCGGCGTTAGTTTCTGCCTACTCTATTTCTGAGGTCGACGTGTGTAGCAGACCCTGGGCGCCTAACTGAGCATATTTGCCCGCGAAGATATTACCTGTGGCGTCGACCCACTCGACCGATCCTACCCTGAGGGCGGAAAGGTCTTGATTCGCCTTTGTTTTTACGCACCCCGGGTACTCGTGCCATCCCGCGTTGCCCTTTGGCAGCACCGCGAGGCTGGCATGTCGAGGTGTCCTGTAGTGCTGGCTGCAATGGTACACATCTCGCACTCCTTGGTAATCCGTGGCCACCTGCGTGATTGAGCCAAGAGAGAAGCAGGAAGAGACGGCAGCAAGCGCAGCAAGGAGGAGGAGGACGACAAGGAGGAGGGGAGGAGAAGGGAGGAGGAGGAGGAGGAGGAGGACGAGGAGGAGGAGGAGGAGAGGAGAAGGGAAGAGGAGGAGGAGGTGGACCACCAGAGTAAACCCAGGATGCACCACTGGTGGCTGCAACACGTCCTACCGTCCCAAGGACTCCCATCAGAAGTCCATGTCGGCTTTTTTTCTTTTTACTGCAAGCAAGAGCCACCCTGAAAGGCGAGCGACCCATGAGCATGTCATTCTGGCGAGGCCCAAGTGCTGAACAGGACTAGAGTTGCATTCTTCTAACGACCACCAGACATGCACCATGGTAGGATGATGCAAATCGGCGAGATGTCCAAAGAGCCCCGTTTTGAAAAGGAACCACCCCAAAGTTGTGTAGAAGTCATGCATGCGTACACTTGTAATTATTAAGCCTGAGGCAATCTCAAGCGATATATCCGTTTTGACAAGGGCCACCCTCCATGAGTGTAGTTTCTTGCATTTCCCAGCTTTCTTTCAACGCGCAGAAGTCTCAACCGAAAACCATACTTTGAAAAACAGACCACCCTCTATCCATGTAACTGTTGTACTCTACTACGGCAAATAAGCGCGTCGCTAAGGCGAGAGCCCCAGCTTCAACATGGGCTGTCTTCCATCGCCGAATTTGTTGAATCTCTGAAGACGGATGTGCGGAGCACTACTGCGAGAGCCCTAATTTGAAAACGGGGCGCGCTCCACCTCTGAAGCAGTAACAATTTTCAAGACGAATGTGCGCGGCGCAAAGGCGGTAAGGCCCATCTGAAAAGGATCCGCATTCTATGATTGCATCTGCTTGTCATTCAGGTTCCATGATCATGTTGCGAGGGAGTCTCGTGCGAAACGCTTGACCGCTCTGCGGACACGACTGCTGGTGGGGAAGGGGTTAGTTCCTTATAAGAAGCCATAGAACTTATAGGAACACCATCGCCGCATAGGTGGGAGTGAGGCACCGCGATCGTGTGACCATAGAGTGAGCCAGGCACTGTGGGGCTGCGGAACCAGCATGCAGTCGTTGTGCCCAGTCTTCGTCCACTTCTTGCCTGGCGCGCCGGCACGCCTGGCCGCACGTGGTGAAAGAAATCCGCTAAGTCTTAGTCGACCTGCTGGCCTTGCGCGCCAGACTGCCTGGCCACGCTTGGTGAAAAGGGACTTCCCGTTCGTGCTAGTGGTCCGCCATCGAGTCATCTGCGATGTAACTTTGTGTGTGTGAGTGAGTGTGAGTGTGAGTGTGTGTGTGTGTGCGTGCGTGCGTGTGTGTGTGTGTGTGTGTGCGTGGGGGGGGGGGGGGGCATCCCGCGCACGCGAATTTTGGGATGTCGAAGTCGGGCACTGCTTACCAAATCCATACCCAACCCGAAGGCCCCAGACCCCTGTTTTCGGTATTCTGCAGCGTCCCCATTGACGAGCCCAACGGCGATTCGGGTTGGGTTGGGGTGGTTGGTCTGCTAGGTAGTCATGAGGGGGATCCGTCGCTATCCCCCCTCCTCCCACTCCTTCTTCCGGCGATCCGCCCTGGTGGGCAGCACTCATTTTCGCATGAGGCTGACGAGCGCAAGTGGTCCAGGAAGGGGAGGAGGAGGAGGAGGAGGAGGAGGAGGAGGAGGAGGAGCACCAGCAGCTCGAGATTCCCCTCTCCTCGCCCTCTTCCTCCTCATCCTCTTTCCCTCCTTGATTCCCCATCCCCCTCAATCTCCCACTGGGATGGGAAGGGGTCTACTTCCGCTGCGTTTTGCCCTCCTCATCCTTGCCATCGTGCCCTTTTCGTTCTCCTTATCCGTATCCTCTTGCCGCTCCAGCGTCATACGCCCCATCCTTCTCCTCTGTTTTCTCCTCGTCCTCCATCGTTCCCCTCCTCCCCTTGTCCTCTTTCCCCCGCCCCCCCAAGCAGCGTCCTCCCCGCCCCTCTGCATCCTGCCCTCCTCTGCCTCCATTGCTCCCCCCACCTCGTCCACCGCATTCTCCCGACGACGACGATGACGACGACGACGACGACGACGCCAACGACGAGGTGGAGGAGACGACGCCGACGTCGACGTCGACGCGCGGCGACGTCGCCGTCGACGCCGTCGTGGGCCGAGGGCGCGGCCGCGCAGCGGCGCCGCCACCCCCGCCGCGCCCCGGGGCCATGCGGACTCCCCGCGGCTGCCCGGCGCAGGCGCTGGCGCTCGCCGGCGTGCTGCTGCAATGGGCGCCCCCCGTCCCGGGCCGGGGGGCGTCGAGGGAGGTCTCCGTCGGTTCGAGGAGGAGGAGGAGGAGGAGGAGGAGGAGGAGGAGGAGGAGGAGGAGAAGGAGGAGGAGGAGGAGGGGGGGGGGAGGAAGAGGAGGAGGAGGAGGAGGAGGAGGCTCTCGCTGGCTCTCGGAGGAGGTGCTCGCCGGCTCACGGAGGGGTTCTCGCTGCGGGGCGTTTTCTCCGGCAGCTGCGCCTCGTCGAGAGCTTGCCGAGGGTGCCCGGGTGGGCCCGAACGGCCGCCAGAGGCCCGAGGACTTGACCCGAAAGCCACCTGGCCTCGAAGGGGGGGTGAGGACTCTGTGTGTGTGTGCGTGGATGTCATGGCCGAGGCCACGAGATCTCTCCGATGTCATGGCCCCCTGTGCTTCTTTCAGGTGCGCTCCCTGGCCCCCCCCCCCAGCGTCTGCGCACATGATGCCTCGGGCCTCAGTGCGCCAGCACCCTGCTCCTGGCCCCCCTCTTCGGCGCACCCAGTGGGGAGCGTCGGTGGACCCCTCGGCTGCCGGGCGGGCCGGCAGTGCTCGGCGGGGTTGTCGGGCGTTCCCGCTTGTCCTCGGAGGTTCTCTCGCCTCGGGCTGCTTTCCGGCAGCTGCGCCTCGGCGAGGGCGCCCCGGGGGGGTGCCCGAAGCGCCCCGGGCGGCCGCAGAAGACCTCCCCTCACGCCGTGGCGAAACGTCGCGGGCGGGAGGTGCTCGGCCACGCTCCGGTCTCCGGGGCCCCCCACCAGACGTGGAGGATCGAGGATCGGAGGGAGGAGGGAGGAGGAGAGACGAGGAGCGGGGGAGGGGACGAAAAGGAAAGGACCAGGGGTCGGAGTTCGAGGATCGGAGAGGGGCCCAGGAGGAGGAGGGGGAGGAGGCGGAGCAGTGCGAACAGCAGCTAAGAGGTTGAGGCCTGAGCAGATTTACTTCGACTGATGGCCGCCGTTTCTCCAACAGCGGGGACCCCAAGGACGCCGAACTTCAGACCGGATGGGCAGGCCAGGAAGCGCGGGCGTTCGGCAATGGGGGGGCGATAATGGGGGGGCGTCAAGGGTTGCACGAAAAGGGCCCTAAAGGGGCCCTGAACGAGCCCCCTCGGGCCCCGAAGGGGTACGAAAGGTGCGCGACTTTCTTAATCGCCCCCCCATTAGGGAACGCCCGAGAAGCGCGGGCGAGCACCCCGGCGCCACCCCGCGGGCGGGCCGTGTGTCTGCCATCGTCGCAGACGCAGGCCGGCCTCGGGAGCAGAAGCAGAGGACCAGGGCTCTTGGGCGCTCCGTGGGTCTTCCAGGGGCCTCCAGGCCTGGAGCCTCGGGAGGCCTGCAGGGGGTCACCGGCCCGTCTGGAGGTGCCACAGGGAGGAGCTCTTTGGAAGGGAAAGAAGGAGGAGGAGGAAGAGGAGGAGGAGGAGGAGGAGGAGGAGGAGGAGGAGGAGGAGGAGGAAGGAGAAGGAGAAGGAGGAGGAAGGAGGATGAGGAGGATGCGGAGGAGGCGGAGGAGGCGGAGGAGACTGAGGAGGCTGAGGAGGAGGAGGAGGAGGAGGAAGGACGAAGCAGAGGAGGCGGAGGAGGAGGAGGAGAAATGCAAAGAGGATGAGGAGCAGCAGGGGATGATGATGCCGATGATGCTGATGATGCTGATGATGACGATGATGAGGATGATGCTGATGACGATGATGATGATGACGATGCTAATGATGATGGTGATGATGCCGATACTGATGATGATGATGATGATGATGATGATGATGATGATGATGATGATGATGATGATGATGATACTGATGATGATGGTGATGATAATGATACTGATGATGGTGATGATGATGATGATGATGATGACGATGATGATGATGATGATGATGATGATGATGATGATGATGATGAGGATGAGGAGGAGGAGGAGGAGGAGGAGGAGGATGGTGGTGGTGGTGGTGATGATGATGATGCTGATGATGATGATGATGATGATGATGATCATGATGATGATGATGATGATGATGATGATGATGATGATGATGATGATGATGATGATGATGATGATGAAGAGGAGGAGGAGGAGGACGAGGAGGAGGAGGAGGAAAAGGCGTCGGCTGCGGAGGAGGAGGAGGAGTAGGAGAAAGACGAGGGAGGGGGTGGGGAAGACGAGGAGGAGCAGATGCGAGAAACATGTTTGAGGAGGTTCGGTGTTTTCTTGGAGGTTCGGCTGGGAACCTCGTGAGATTCCCAGCGGAGGTTCTAAGATGTTCTAGGGATCCTGTGAGGAAGGAGGGGGGAGAGTTTGAGAAAGGATGGAGTGTGGTACAGATACTAAGGTTTTTCTCACAACCACACCGATCATTCCAACAAACGGGCGCAGAAGGTAATTTTCCAAACCAGAAGAGGCACTTTTCAACCATAAGTGGCACTCTTTCTTTCACCCCTCCACGGGGGATTTCCACGAGCCCTTTTCCTTGAGGCCTCTCAGCGCGTGCTCTGGAGTCCTCTTCGGGCGCCCTTGTGGTTCACAGGAGCCCTCTTGGAGTCCTTGAATCTATTTTGGGCGATCGTGGGGTCACCTTGATGCCTTAGAGGGCCGTCGGAACAGAAACCTCGAGAACGCCCAACACACTCATCAGCATGAAGGGTTGAATTATCTTGGCTTCATTTGGGGCTTATCGGGGCCATCTTGTGCCTATCTTGGGGCCGCTTCGCTTTGGGGCCACGGGCCGCTGTCGAGTCCTCTTGAGGCCCTCTGAGCTCCGAGAGCGCTCTGGGGGATCCTGGGGGCCCTCCTGGAGCCCTTGGTGGGCTTCACTCGCAGCCGAGTCTCTTGTCTTGGGCGAGCTCGGAGCCCCGTTGTGGGCCCCGCCGTGGCCGCGGCAGACCCTTTCGCTCCCCTGCGCGGCGCTCCCCGCGGTGGCACGGTGCCCGCAGGCGGGCTCCTCCCCCGCCTGGCGGGCCGGGCGCAGGGGCCCGGCCTCGCGAGCCCCGCGCCCGCGGCTGCGTCGGGCTGGGCGCGGGTGCAGCAGACGGCGCCTCCTCGCGTCGCCTCCTCGCGTCCTTCGGTGCGGGCGTGCCTCCCGCGCGGGGCCTGCTGCTGATGGCTCCGTGGCGGCACCGCGCCCCGTCGCGTGGCCGACCGCCGTCAAGCATCGAGCACGCTGGCAGGACCCCGCGGGCGTTTTTCTGTTGGGTTGCGTCAACCAACTCCTCCTCCTCCTCCTCCTCCTCCTCCTCCTCCTCCTCCTCCTCCTCCTCCTCCTCCTCCTTCCTTTTCCTCCTCCCGCCCCCCCTTGCCTCCCCCCTGCCCCACCTTTGTTGGTTTGTGTTGAAAACAGCTCCTCCTCCTCCTCCTCCTCCTCCTCCTCCTCCTCCTCCTTCTTTTTCCTTCTCCTCCTCCTCCTCCTCCTCCTCCTCCTCCTCCTCGCCCTTCCTTTTCCTCCTCCCGCCCCCCCCCCCTTTGGTCGGGGCCTCGGCGCTCCTCCGCGGGGGAGGCACGGCGCTGGGGGCGACGGAGAGGCCCCTCCCTGGGGGCCCGGGCGGCCGAGGCGGCGCGCTCGCGCGCAGCGCGCGGGGCAGGGAGGCCGGAGGCCGCGGAGCTCGCCAGTCGCCCGGTCGGCGCGGCCGCCCCTCTCCGAGGAGGAGGAGGAGGAGGAGCAGGAGGAGGAGGAGGAGGAGGTACCCACACCTCTGCCACCCCCTCGTGTTCCCCGTTTCGGGGGGCCTCCTGGGCCTCCGCCGCCGCCGCCGCTGGATCCGCCTCGGAGTCCTGGGCAGAAGGCCCCCCCCCTTGGCCTCCCCCCTGCCTCGCCTCGTGCGGGGCCCCCCGGCGCGCTCCGCGCGGGGGGGGGACGGCGCGGGGCGACGGAGAGCCCCTCCCTGGGGGCCCGAGCGGCCGAGGAGCGCGGCGCGCGCGCGCGCGGGGGAGGCAGCCGGAGGGCTCGGAGCTCCCAGCCGCCCGGTCGGCGCGGCGGCTCCCCTCAGAGGAGGAGAAGGTACCCATTGTGCATTTCTAGGTCTTCGAGAGGTTCTTTGCAAGGGCTCCCTCGAGGGCGCGAAGTTATTCGCGCTTCGCGCTTCGCGGTCCTCGTTCCTTCTCCTCCTCCTCCTCGTCCTCCTATTCTCCCTTTGGGAGGGCGGCGCGAGAGCGCGAAGTTATTCGCGCTTCGCGCAGCGCGAAGCGCGAAGTTGGGAGCCCTAGCTTTGATTTCTGGGGGGGCCAGGATCATTTCGTCTTTGATTCATCCCTCCTGGGCCTCTTCCTGGCCACCGGGGGGCCAGGAGCCACCAGAAACGAGCACACTCAGGAATGAGCACGATGAGACATCAACGACGTTTACCCATGCCTCTACCATACCCTTTTTGCTCCTCTTTTGGGGCCTCCTAGTCCTCCGTCGTCGCCACCGCCGGATTCGCCTCGAGGTCCTGGTCAGAACGCACCCCGGGCGAGGTCTGGGAAGTAGCGGCATCGGTACCTTTTTGTTGGTGTCCTCATTCCTCCCACCGATGTCATATTTGTTCGTCTGCACGGCGAATTCGGGCATGCCCTTCGTAGCCCCCTGCGCCCTCCGTGTCTCCGCCGAGCCCCTGGCAGACTGCGCCGCGCTGCTGCGTGGAACTGTGGCGGTCACTGGTGTGCGAAGCCCTTTGCCCTTAAGGGCAAAGGGCTTCGCACACCAGATGCAAAGAGTGAACGCCGCTGCAGGTGTGCAATTGCACACCTGCAGCGGCGTTCACTCTGGGGGGGGCGGGGGGGCGGGGGAGTCGACCTGCAGTCCGCGCGCCAGGTCACTGTAGGTCAGGCCGCCAAGGCACGCTGGCCGAGGCGCTCCCGAAGCAGCTCGTCCTCGCACATCCCCTGGTGAGCCTCCCCAGGCCACCCCACCCCCGGGAGGGAGGGGGGAGGATGACAGGAGAGGGAGGCGGAGGTGGAGGCCTCGATCACCGAACGCTTCCACTACGTTTGGGCTGCTCCCGCGGCCCAGGGCAGGTCGGGCCCTTCTCTTCATCTCCAGGTCGCAACGGGAAACTCAAGATGTCGGTGGCGCCCCTCCTGCCCTCCTACGATCATATGTTGGAGGCCTGGAAATGGGCACCAACACCAACACAGGGGGTGGCCTCCAAAGGGGGAAGATGATCCTCGATTTCGGTGTTTGTGGTAATTAATATTTCGGCCACCTTGGAAGCCAGAATATTACAACCATCACCGAGATCGGGGTCTTCTTCCCTCGGTGGAGGCACGCCGCCGAAATTGGTGCTGGTGTCAACCCCTAGGCCTGCGATGGTGTGCCACGTCGTGGCGCAGGAACCGACACCTGCGAAGCGGTGATGCGCACGCGTGTGCCATCACCCCGCCTCTCGCCCTCTCCCCGGAGACGGGATGGGACGGAGGGCGGCTAAGGAAGCGGGGGAGGGGTGCACGGGTGGGTGCGTTTGCCTTGGGGGTCATGCGCGCCGGCCGCGGATGGCCACGGCGCCCCGGGGTCCCCCAGGATCCGGCACGGACGCATCGGGGGAGTGAGGTCCGAGGGCGCATCGGGAAGCGAGGTCCGAACCGATCTGGCGTAAGCTGAGGGCCCGCGTCCGGCCACGGTGTCCGCGAGCGTTTCCCTCGGGCGGCGCTGCGATGCCAGGCGGCCGGTGCGCGATCGGGCGGATGGCGGCCGTGGGACTGAGGTGCAGCCGTCGTGTGCCCGCAGCGGCGGCATTGCTGAGATGAGAGGCCATCCGACTGTTTGCCAGCGTGGGGAGCGGGCGAGCAGGGCGCATTTCACCGTTGAGTGTGCCAGGCACCTAACCAGGTCCTGCTTGAATGAATCAGCAGGGGTCATGGGAAAAATGTGGCCCAGATAGTGAGGCAGAAGTGTCTGCGATGTCTGCCTTGGTAGATGCAGGCGGCCCGTTGGTGGCAACCAGTGCGGCTGCAGTTACCTGTGTCTTCGTAACGCCAGGCGCACACATGACGTGACCAAGTTTCTTGAAGATGCACGCTCTTCGCGGGACGACCCGACGCGCGCTTGATTCAGACCGGGGCGGATATATGATCCACGGTTCAGGGCCAACGGCCTCCCCCCCCTAGATGGGATGGGTCCCAGGGCCTCACGGCCCCCCCTTCCCCCAGATGGGATGGAGGGGAACGTTGACGGACGAACGGACGACGGCGACGACGACGAGCATCACCCCACACCCAAAGGGGCAGGGAGCCCCCCCAACACCACTCCACGCCCACAGGGGGGTTGTGTTTGGGCGGACCCATCGCGCGGATGGGGAGGGGCCCGAAGACATCCGCAAGAGGGGCAGGTTGGGGGGGAGCCCTGGACGATGCTTTTGATGAGTTGAGAGCGAGCGTGCCACGTGTTGGATGCATTGCATGCTGGCGCTCAGATATCACACATGATGGGTGAACCCATGTGCCTGCCGTTTCGAGCATTTTCTCACTTGGGGTGGTAGCTATAAGATGTTCGGCTGCAGTTATGCCATCAGCATGCGCTGCTGATCAGAACTGACCATATAGCTACGGTCACCCTGTTGGATTATCGGAGCTGGTTGAACATGTTAACCCAGGTTGTGCGCATAGTGGTATGGGTGTATGAGCCACCGGATGTGCGCACTCTATGATGTGAGTGCGTGTGCATGCGCGGGTGCATCTGTGACGCGGCGTATTTATGTACACGGCTCGTTTTGCGTATGTCTACACATTCGCGCAGGCGCACATGTAGGTGTATCCGGAATAGGTTTGTATGTGTGCATGCACGGCGGTCTTGAAGTGTCCATGTCCCCTCAGGTACGCATACTACTCGTGCAAGCATTCCTGAGCGCGCCCAGGGTGGAAGGCAGAAGGGCGGGCCTTTCAGAAGGCTTAGAAGGCCTCTGGTCTTCTGTGAAGATGTTCGAGCCTTCTCTGAAGTCCCGCCGCTTTCTGAGAAGGCCTGCCCCCTCTCACTTCCTATCTTGGCGCGTTGCCGAACTATGCTGCCTTTTTTTCGCGCAGGCACGCTAGTTCTGAGCGTGCATGAATGTACGCTGACATTTGTGCGTTTACCAGTTTACGCTAGTATGTTAGCATGCATGTGCTTCGACATACATATTCGAACGTCTGAATTTATTCATGTAAGCGTGCATGCGTGCGATGGTGCATGCACCAGCGAGCTCCTGTGCCAATGTTGACACGAAAGTGTACTCGCACGCGTGCACACGTGCATACATAGTTGTACGTTTTGCGGTCTATTCACACATCATGTTGCCGAATCTACGTATTCAAAGTGGTGCGTACGGAAGCCCTGATTGCATGAGGGATTTTCTCTGCACCAGTAGGGCATCTGCTCCTCGGGCTCCACGATGCACATTGGAATAATGCTGGCGGTGATGCAGACTCAGCGTGCCAGCTGAGCGTTAAGTTGTGATACATGGTGTTCGAATATCACAGCTAATCTTCTCGCTGAGCTTGCAGTCATAGGGTTTCGCCGCTGTTGCTGGCATCGCCATTGCGAAGGGCCCGTCGACTGGCGGGTGTGCTTGTTGATGGTACTGGCTGCCGTGCCACTCCCAGGCTCTAAGGACAGAGCTTTTCGCATGAAGCGAGGATCGCCATGCGTGTTCCGTTGTGCGTGGCTGAGTGCTTGGATTACCGTAGGCTGAACTGAAGCGCACTAGCAAGCGAAACTACAGCTTTCAATGTACGGAGGGGATGATGAGGCATATAACGGGCTTGCGAAGAACCAGTGGGTGATCGTTGAAGAGGACATCATTGTGTCGGTGGGTATCCGGACACATTCCAGAATTGTTCCACACGATGCGTGACCGCTGGGATGACAGCATTCATTACCGAGAGTAGTCGTGCATGTATCGATCAGACGTTTGTCTGGCAGGCTACTCCGATGAAGACGGCTTTTAACGGATTCTGAGCGTCACGCAACGACCATGTATTCGCCGTCGCCACGGCCTCACATTGAACGTCAATGTGCAATAGCAGGGGACAGCCGGGTCAGCAGATGGTTGACGTTCAATTGTTTTCGGGCTCAAGAATTGTTTGTTCCCTACGGGGCTTATTGTTATGATTGCGGTCGCCAGTGGCTGAATGGAAGCGCATGGTGTAGCACGCGCCACCCAATCCATCTGATGATGGATTCACCCTGCACCAGTAGGACATCTGCTCCTCGGGTTCCACGATGCACATTGGCATAATGCTGGCGGTGATGCAGACTCAGCGTGCCAGCTGAGCGTCAAGTCGTGATGAAGAGCGTTCGAATATCACAGCTAATCTTCTCGCTGAGCTTGCAGTCATAGGGTTTCGTCGCTGTTGCTGGCATCGCCATTGCGAAGGTCTCTTCGACTGGAGGGTGCGTTTTTTAATGGTACTTGCTGCTGTGCCACTCCCAGAGCCTTTGGCATAAAGTGCGGATCGCCATGCGTGGTCCGTGATGCGTGGTTGAGTGTTGAGATTACCTTAGGCTGAGCAGAACCGCGCTAGCAAGCGCCACCACAGTTGTTCAATGTATGGAGGGGGTGATGAGGTGTGTAACGGGCGTAGGAAGACCCGTCGGGAGGTCGTTGAAGAGGACATCATTGTGTCGGTGGGTAGTGGACACACTTCAGAATTGTTCCACACGATAGGTGACCGCTGTGATGACAGCATTCATTGCCGAGAGTAGTTGTGCATGTATCGATCAGACGTTTGTCTGGCAGGCTACTCCGATGAAGACTGCTTTTAACGGATTCTGAGCGTCACGCAGCTGCAGTGTGTTCGCCACGATCACGCATTCAACGTCAATGTGCAACAGCACGGAACAACCCTCCATACATGCATGCATGCGATGGCGCATGCACCAGCGATCTCTGGTGTTGTTCGCACGAAGGTGCGCACGTACGCGTGCACACGTGGATACATAGTTTTACGTTTTGCGGTCTATTCACACACTGGCCTTGTCGACTATGCGTATTCGAATTGGTGTGAACGAAAGCTCTGATCCCATGAGGGATTTATCCTGCCATATTTGGTCATCTGCTCCTCGGGCTCCACGATGCACATTGGCATATTGCTCGCGGTGATGCGGACTCAGCGTGCCAGCTGAGCGTCAAGGCGTGATGAAGAGCGTTCGAATATCACAGCTAATCTTCTCGCTGAGCTTGCAGTCATAAGGTTTCGTCGCTATGGCGATGGGCCCATCGATTGGCGGGTGCGCTTGTTGGTGGTACTGGCTGCTGTGCCACTCCCATGCTCCAGGGACAGAGCCTTTCGCATGAAGCGAGGATCGCCATGCGTGTTCCGTTGTGCGTGGCTGAGTGTTTGGATTACCGTAGGCTGAACAGAAACGCGCTTGTGAGCGCCACCACAGTTTTCAATGTATGGAGGGGATGATGAGGTATATAACGGGCGTAGGAAGATCTGGTGGGAGATCATTGAAGAGATTGTGTCGGTGGGTAGTGGACACACTTCAGAATTGTTCCACACCATGCGTGATCGCTGGGATGACAGCATTCATTACCGAGAGTAGTTGTGCATGTATCGATCAGACGTTTGTCTGGCTGGCAGGCTACTCCGATGACGACAGCTTTTAACGGATTCTGAGCGTCACGCATTGACCATGTATTCGCCGTCGCCATGGCCCCACATTGAACGTCAATGTGCAACAGCACAGCCGGATCAGCAGATGGTTGACGTTCAATTGTTTTCGGGCTCAATAACTGTTTGCTCCCTACGGGGCTTAGTGTTATGATTGCGGTTGCCAGTGGCTGAATGGAAGCGCATGGTGTCGTACGCGCCACCCAGTCTGTCGAGGGAAGGGGGGAAAAATAATGTTAGCAAGCGTGGACTCCAAACAGAGTGTTTCTAGCAATATGTTGGGCGTTCCAAAGAAGGCCTTATCTTCGAAGACCAGAGGAGTTGCTATCTCTTCCTCGGCGGAAGGCGGCGGAAGGATGGCGGAAGGCGGCGGAAGTATAACGACAGCGGTTCTGCCGGCGGAAGCTGGCGGAAGGCCGGCGGAAGCCAGCGGAAGCAAAAGCCTACCTCCCAAGAGATGACAACAATCGATGTGGTGCAATCTATGTGGTGCAATCCACTTTGACCGTCTTGAAGCTGTCCTCTCCACTGCTCGCGCAAACATCCCACCCACCCACCCGCAACTTGGTTTGCAAAACCTCTTCAGACCGACTGCGACGACACCGACGACAACGACTAGGACGACACCGACGACGTCTCCGACGACTTCGACGACGACAACGACGCCGACGCCGACGACGACGAAGACGACGACGACGACGCCAACGAAGGCGACGACGAGGGAGGAGGAAGGACGACGACGGCGACAACGACGACAACGACGACAACGACAAGGGAGGAGGGAGGACGGCGACGACGCGAACGACGACGAAGGAGGAAGGACGGCGACGCCGACGACGACAACGACGAGGGAGGAAGACGACGACGACAACGACGACGACGACGACGTTGACGAAATAGGAGGGACGACGACGAGACGCCGACGACGGACGACGACGACGACGTGGGAGGAGGAGGAAGGACGACCACGGCGACAACGACGACGGAAACGACCACGACGCCAAAGAGGACGACGACGACGAACACGAGAAAAGACAGAAGACGACGTAGGCGACGACGACGACGACGACGCGGGAGGAGGGAGGACGGCGACGACGACGACGACGACGACGCAAGAGCGCGCGCGCACGCTTTTGTTGAAAATCCGTGTTGCGAAACCT